ATTACTTTTGCTGATTTTCTTATGAATTACCGTAAAGTCCTTTTGATAAGAAAATGATTGCTCGATAGCGCCGGAAGTATGACTCGGAAAACCTGTCCAAAAGTGTGACTGATATCAAGACGCCGCCTAAGAGTAGAGATATCGATATATAGACTTTTCGGACCATTAGGTCATCGTAGAAGCCGTAGTAAAGCCATGAGATTTGAGCCATATTTAGCACCAAAGCGATACCCAGGTAATCAAGTCTATGATTATAGTCATAGTATGTGTACATAAGATAATGATGGACTGATTTAGCAATTTTATCATTTAATACTTAGAAAATATCTTAATAACACTCCTTGAATGGCATTGAAATGTGTGAAACAGAGTGGACATCACCAGACAATTGACACAAAGACCAAACATGCCATTCATGACAAGTGTGTCATCGGCGGTGTAGCTCTTATTCCTTTGACAGCCTATCGTGTGATACCATTGAATAGAAAAGAGTAGAGCGCCGGCCATATGAGTGAATATATTTCCCGATTCGTTGTGTAATACAAATAGCGAGCGAATACAGTATAGGATGGAGGGGTTGGGAGCTCTGTAGCCACTTATGATGTACCGGTTATCGCCATACCATCGAGGAATGGAATCGAAGTTTATGAGTCTCATTCAATAAGACCTATATCTCTATGTTTTATATGCTATTTAAATTGGATATCGATTTTATTCTAGTTTTATGTGTACTTTAAAAGAGCATTTCATGAAGAATTTCTGTTTTATTTGAATTCTGTTTTGCATTTTTAATTCATGAATCGCGAGACTCTAATGAAGTTTTACATGATATTGTAGTATAAATATAATATAACAAAAAATAACAAAATATTCTTGAAAAATGCACTTCATTTTGTATGCCTGTTTCAAAACTCTATTCAAAAGTTATTTTGCAAAAAATCTATAAAAATAATTAATGTGTTTATGAGATATATAATATACTGTATAATAGCATTTTTATTACAACATATTATGAATAATAGAGAACATTAATGAATGTGAAAGCAATTTCATTGTGAATATTATTAGACTTTAATTGAATTAGCGGTCGATTCCGAGTAATTGAGTCTCACTTCGGCTATTAATGACAGGCTGTGGTAGTATACAAGTCCCGCGCCTACACTCGCGATATGAAACAATTGGTGCGATTGAAACCATATATTAAATAATCCTGGTGCTAATCTCTCGGGTATTTTAATCATATAGAGAACCGCTCCCGTGATATATAATGCTCCCATTATTGGCAATAGGAAGATCCCTTTAAAAGCTAACTGTGCGGGTATGGGATCATTGATTTGTA